AGGTAGGGATAGGATACAGAGGGCCCTAGACAAATTAGAGGATTGGGCCAAAAGAAATCTGATGAGGTTCAACAAGGATAAGTGCCGAGTCCTGCACTTAGGACGGAAGAATCCCATGCACCGCTACAGACTAGGGACCAAATGGCTAGGCAGCAGTTCTGCGGAAAAGGACCTAGGGGTGACAGTGGACAAGAAGCTGGATATGAGTCAGCAGTGTGCCCTTGTTGCCAAGAAGGCCATTGGCATTTTGGGATGTATAAGTAGGGGCATAGCCAGCAGATCAAGGGACATGATCGTTTCCCTCTATTCGATATTGGTGAGACCTCATCTGGAGTACTGTGTCCAGTTTTGGGCCCCATACTACAAGAAGGATGTGAAAAAATTGGAGAGAGTCCAGCGAAGGGCAACAAAAATGATTAGGGGTCTGGAACACATGACTTATGAGGAGAGACTGAGGGAACTGGGATTGTTTAGTCTGCAGAAGAGAAGAATGAGGGGGGATTTGATAGCTGCTTTCAACTACCTGAGAGGTGGTTCCAAAGAGGATGGTTCTAGACTATTCTCAGTGGTAGAAGATGACAGGACAAGGAGTAATGGTCTCAAGTTGCAGTGGGGGAGGTTTAGGTTGGATATTAGAAAAAACTTTTTCACTAGGAGGGTGGTGAAACACTGGAATGCGTTACCTAGGCAGGTGGTAGAATCTCCTTCCTTAGAAGTTTTTAAGGTCAGGCTTGACAAAGCCGTGGCTGGGATGATTTAACTGGGGATTGGTCCTGCTTTGAGCAGGGGGTTGGACTAGATGACCTCCTGAGGTCCCTTCCAACCCTGATATTCTATTATTCTATGATTCTATACAAAGGAGGTCAGACTAGGTAATTTGTGGGTTTTTTCTGGCCTTAAATTGTATGAATCTATAAATAAAATTGAGGAGTAGAGTTGGAATTGGGCCCTCCAATTATGGGGACATGGGCTATGTGGATAGTTCTGTTGTAATCCTCAGCAAAGCAGTGGTTCAACAACATTGCAGTTTAAACTGACGTCATTATTTTTTGTAATTAAGCTACACTGAGGTGCATGGAGCTCTTATATCTGATGTCTTCCTTAGTCTGCAGACTGGCAGTATGTTAATTGATCACCATTTTGTTGTACTGGTTTTGTTTGTAACTATAAGAGCTATTTTTTATGTATTTGAATGGTTGTATCACCTAGAAGCCCCCATTAAAGATTTGGGGTCCCATTGTGTTAGGCACTGAACACCCGCATATCACAAAAAGATGATGGCTGCCTCAAAAAGCTTATGGTCTAGGTATCAGCTTACAATCCTAGAAACAGTGTTTTGTGCATGAAAGATTTTAACTTGTGCTGCCCAATATGCAGTGATGGGTGGAGTCTGCAGCAAATGCCACAGCTGTGGAATCCTGGAATACTTGGTCCCTGATTATAGGGCATGGGATAGTGCAGGGAACTGGAGGGCTAGAATGCTTGCTGGAAATGAGTGAAGTGAGAGATTCTAAGGAGTAGGAATTGAAGCACGGAAATTTCTACTTAGTAATTCTGTGATAGACATTAGAGAAGGCAATGTCTATTAGGTCACATTTATAGTCATTCTGGAAAGAGAGGAGAGGCTGTAAAGGATTATTTACAGCCCTTTTTCCTATACTTGTTCCAGTCCAATTTTAAATGTTGCTGTCAATTGGGCTTTCACCACTTCCTTGAGAGACTATTACCAAAAGGCAGGGTTCCCTAAGATACAGTCTTAATTTCGTCCTATTACTCCGAGTGATACCACTACTTATCGCTCTAGAAAAGTCTTCTCCCTTGTGGGTGTTCAAACCTGTCATTAATAGCTGCCATCATGTGCTGCCAGCACCTTGGATGCTGTTGCCTAGCCAAGCTGTACTGTGCTCTTTTACATTCGGACATTTTTGTTCTTTTTAAAACTTCTCATTTGTCAATCTCTTTACATTATTGAAGAGCCCAGGGTTGAGGGCTGCATTCCAGATGGAGTCCCCCTGGAGCATGGAGGCATGGTACCTCTATTGGGCTCCAGGGGGACTCCAACTGGAATACAACACTCAACCTTGGGCTCTTCATATGCAACCCAAAACTGACCTAGCTTTTTTACAGCCATTTTGCATTGTAAACTGCCATCTAACTTGCTGGACTATTTGAGGCATTGCTGCTCTTCTCGTTTGCTTCTCCCATTGCCTGTCCACATTTCAGATTAGTTTCCTGCAGCTGCACAGATTCAGCCTGAGTCTCATTTTGTCATTTCAGTCTTTTAGGTGCTCTGTTGTTAAAGTTCTTGTAACAGGACTCTTGTGTCTGCAGTAAGAATGCAAAGAGAAGCACAATCATATTAAAACCAGGAGATGTGCAGTCTTGTGCCGTCCTTCATCTGTACTATATGACAGGAGGAAGCTGCTTGAGAAAAGGGGAGGAGGAGAGACACTGAGGAGGTGAGAGAATTGAATTGGAAGGGAGGAGAGTGAGAAACAAAAGACAGGACAAGCTGTAAAACAGAAGAAAGGAGAGACTGGAAAGGATGAAGGAGAGAGGCAGCACCTCATGGCAATGCGGAGCATGCTGCTGTCTGGAGGGGCCTAAGGCACTGACAATGTGCTCAGCTCTGCACAAGACACAGTACCGACAGGCCTTCCCCTCAGGAGCACAGAGAAGACCAGATGCACTAGGGCACCCTGAGGAGGATATTAGATTAGGTGTTGCCTCCTTGTCCTCTCCTCTCTGATAATATTGGGTTGAGAAGGCATTTTACCTAGGTGGTCTGTGGGGCTTTTGAAGGTGTTGCAATGGGGAAAAGGGTGTGGCCTCATGTACTGGCATTCAAAGTTTGTTCCACATCTAAGGACAGCGTAGAAGAAGGTGCAGAGGTGGGGGTGGGAGAAGGAAAGTAATTAGGCAAAGCAGGGGGTGGACAAGGTGTGAGGGGGACATAAGAATTTAAATGGAAGATGTCAGCCAGAATAGTACTAACCATATTTCTTGGTGGAGCTACTCTTCCTCTGTGACAGGTGATATTTGTTTGGTACCCACACTGTTTTAATGCCCAACAAGAAAAAGGGGAGCCAACAGGAAGTTCAGAAAGTAGGATATAGGCCAGTAACTGGGTTGGCCCACCCAACTTTGCTATTCTGGCCATAATTCGTCCTTTGCAGACACAGATAGCTGGGCCCACAATCTTGTTTCTCCTGGCCAGGCAGTTTTCAAGGGAGTGGACATGGGGCAGCAGAGCTGCGGTGATTGACAGGCAACAGCAGGGCCCACAGTCCGTTTTCTCCATGCTGGAAGGCAGCCACGGTTTGTGGATTGACAGCCAACAGGAGATTCTAAATACAAGATTTAGTGTGAAGTATTTTTAAGCCATTTCCTTTTGCTGACTGCTGGGTTTGGGGGGTGGGGAGTGTGGTGGAGGAGAGAGCCATAGTTTCCAAAGAGTTGTCATAACAGTGTTTGCAGCTCAGCCAATGGTACAGGCTGGGACAGGTGAAGAAGTTCTCAGCTGTATACAAAGGCTTCTCTTTTACTGGTTTACTGCCTCCTCCCTCTCCTTTACCCAGTTGCAGCTCCCACAGTCAGTCTCCCATACCAGCTCTATTATCTGCACTCACTAGCCATGCCCACTCTGTCTTCTGAGCTGGTCTCTCCTCTATCCCCCTCCCATTAACAGTGCAAGCAGAGGTTGTCTGTGCCTCTGCCCCTAAGCCCTCCTATAATTTTCTGTTACTATCCACACCGCCCCTACCTTCACTCTAACATTCTGCCACCTCTGTAATGCAACCAGCCCCTTGGAATCTAAGGAAGAGCTATTTTCTAAGGCTTATGAGGAGCAGGGAGCCTGATGAGGTTTGGTGTTGGTGGGTGGGGTAGTATAGTATACTGGCTAGCTAGTCTGGAGGTGTGGACTTAAGCTCCTGGCTTTTGTGATGTTTACGTGGACTGTTCTGTTAAACACTTGCTCACTACCTGCGGCTGGAGCAGGTGCTTTGTTATCTGATCTATACATCACTTGCGCATTGGACTCAGAAGTCATCAAAGAACTCATTGGTGCATACACCATGCTCTGTCAAGAGTGATGGTGCCATTGAAATCATAATAAATAAGGGTAACAGTTTGATGTGTCCAGGAGTTGGGCTTGCATTTTTAAAATGAGATTAATCTTGGTGATTGATTCTTGGAGGGCTATACCTCTTTAGGGCTAGGACTGACTTTATGCTGTGTCTTGTACAGCACTGATCTCATGGTCTGACTCAAAACCACTGAAGTCAATGGAGATGTCAGGAGATTTTAGCATTCCTAAGGAAATGTTATCAGGCTCTCATGTTCCCCTATTATTGGGGAATGCCTGATCAAAGAGGCTTTTCTGTAGCCACATCTTCTCACTTTATAGGCTTATTCTGATCCTTGGTGATAGTGTATCCTGAAGTGGAAGGCCTTTATGGAGAACTCTCTTCCCCCAGTACTTTAAAGTTTCACCTTTGACTGCCAGCTATAATGTCCCTTGATCACAGTAGCTCAGTCAGCATAAAGGATCACTGGTGTGATATGGTGTCATCATCAGTCTTGATTAACATGTAGACCACAGCATGTTGGCCCAGATGTAGCTTCTACATGATCTTTACGGTCAGTCCAAGAGAGAATGCTGCAGTAATCTGGCCTGGATCTGTCACCCACCCGCTCAACATCTAATTTTATCAAACAAAATTACTTACCCAGCCGCTCAACATCTTGCTGTGTGAAGTATTTTTCCTTACTACCTCCCAGCCTACTCTCTTATCAGGTTCCTCTCTCTAATGACCAAAAAGTGCCAGGCCTGACTCCATCACTTTGTCCTGTTGCATTGGTGCTTATTAGAATGGTCAAAGCTTGGAAACTTTATGGTCTTTACATTGGAGCTAGTTGCTGCCGTCATGCCAACCCCTTTGCTGTTGCAATAACTGTGACCAAACAGACATTTTATTTCTGTTTCGCTTCCTCCCTAGCGCCCTGGGATGCCATCAGGTGCTCGAATGCCCCATCAGGGGGCTCCAATGGGTCCCCCAGGCTCACCATATGTTGGAAGCCCCTCAGTGCGCCCTGGAATGCCCCAAACAGTGATGGAACCAACACGAAAGCGCACAGCACCTCAGCAGGTACAGCAACAGCAGGTGCAACAGCAGCAGCAAGCAACTCAGACCCGAACCCGGAGGTGAGTGCACTGAAAGAGAAGAATGGGAGGGTAATTGTGGGAAGAAGAACCAGCCTCCTTTGCAACTGTGTGACAGCCTTAAACATGTAGGCAACAAATCAGTGGATTTATAGGTAAGGCTACGTTTTAGTCATGGGTATTTTTAGTAAAAGTCAGGGACAGATCACAGGCAGTAAACAAAAATTCACAGCCTGTGACCTGTCCCTGACTTTTACTAAAAATACCCATGACTAAAACTTGTGGCGGGGGCTGCTCAGGGGCCCTGCGGGTGCTGAGGCAGAGCAGCCCAGGTGCTGGGGAGGCATGAGCAACAACGCGCAGCCTGGGACCCCTGCTGGTGCTGGGAGGCAGGGGGTTGGTGGGGTCAGTAGGCTCCCTACCTGGCTCCGCGCCTCCCTTTCCTCACCCCCCAGCAGCAGAGTTTGGGTGTGGGAGGGGATAGGGGGGTGGGGCCTTGGACAGGTTGAGGCAGGCTCTGGGTGGCGCTTACATGGGGACATCCTCCTCACTCCCTGCTAGGCAGAAGTGTGGCTAGGCAGCTCTGCAGGCTGCCTCCGCCCGCAGGCACCGCCCCTGCAGTTCCCATTGGCCGCAGTTCCCGGTCAATGGGAGCTGTGAAGCCAGCACTCTGGGTGGAGGCAGGTGTGCAGAGCCGCCTGGCCACGCCTCCACCTAGCAGCTGAACAAGGGGGATGTCGCTGCTTCCGGGGAGCCCCCCAGATAAGTGCCGCCCAGAGCGTGCCTCACCCCATCCCGTGCCCCAACCCTTTGCCCCTTCCACCCCCAAACTCTGCTGCATGTGTGCGTGTGTGTGTATGTGTGGCCTGAGACTGCCCCAGCAGCAGCCGGTGCGTCTGGCTCAGGGGCTGCCTGAGCTGTCCCTGAGCCAGGCGCACTGGCTGCTGCAGAAGTCACGGAAAGTCACAGAATCCATGACTTCCGTGACCTCTTTGACAAACTCGCAGCCTTATTTATAGGGTGTATGCTGCTTGGAGCAGGGACTGTGACAATGCAAAATTCACTGAATAGTTTTTCATTTGTGAATTGTCTCTGAGCAGATCTTGATTTCTATTCATTTTCTTGTTATTTGGAGTTATTAGAATGTTTGGTGCATGTTTCAGGCTACGGGGTCTAGTTGTATTCAATCTATAGATTATTTGCTAATTACTTATTTTGACTTTGTCTTCAACTATTTGTTGTTTGTGATATATGACTGGTCACCTATTTTGCATAATAATACTCCTGCTCCCTGATTGGTTAACTGAATATTTTATAAACAGGAGCAGGCAAATCAGAGATTTCAGCTTCGTAGCGTGAATACTTATACCATGAGCACTAGTGCAAAATGCATTTTCATAAATATTCATGAGATGTTCATTGTCTACAAACATTCTCTGGTGAAATTCACTAATGAAATTTACAGAAAGTAACTAGCTAGAGTTGGAGGGGGGCATTTTTGATGTGTATGTACTTTTCTGGCAGAATTTGCCCATCTTTAATCTCGTACAACACCCAGTGCACTGCTGGCAATTAAATAAAGTGTGAGCCAATTCCTCAAGCCTAGATTTATGGCTGATAAGTGCTTGAGGGACATTCACCTACAGACTCTGCACAACGACTGTGCAAACATTATGGGTACTTGCAGGGTCAGGCAATGTATTAGTGGTGTCAGTACATATGGTTGCATGTAATACCTGCTTCTTTAGGTTCAGTGCACTGGGAGCTCCTGTGAGTCCAGGGTATTTGCACTGCAGTATCTAGCAAGCGTTAAGAGTGTGTACTGAGAATGTCCATGTATCTGGGATGCACCCTAGAAGGGCCCCAGCAGCAAGAGTGTTAGTGGATTAAGGGTGAGTGCAGTTCCCAAGGGTCGTCACATGGGAATTAGTCTGTTTCATGTCCCCGTTACAGAAGAAAACATCTTCTTATCCTCAGATTTTCTTGCAGTTTGAAACCATGTTGTAGCGAGTGAGCCCTGCTCACCTGAAGCCTTCCAGGAGGCACCAAAAGGCTTCCAGTGTTTCCTCCATCGTATCTCCTCTCCATGGAGTTTATTGTATTCTTTACCCTGGTTTTCTTTCCCTCCCCTGTCCCCTTCTCAGAAGTTCCTCTGCTTTCCCCGCGCTAACTCCCCTACCATCTCTGGCAGGCTTAGGGGACGGGGTAAATATCCTTGCCATGGGAGGCTCGGTGTAGGCAGAAAGGGGATAAATTCCCTGGTCTCTATCAGACTTTGGGGGAATGGATGGGGTGTAATGCCCCTTCAGTTTTACTGGGTGCTCCAGGTCACATTCCCATTTCCTTTAGGCTCTGGCTCACCCAGTCACTGTTTCTCGCCTGCAATTATTGTGGCATCACCTCCTTAACTGTCATTTCAGTTGGGGTGTTTTTTTCCTTCTCCAGCTGTTCCCTAGGTCTGGTGAGAGTCACTAGCCCCTCCCTCTGTGGCCAGGCCAGAGGCATTAGCTCCTCCCTTGCCCCTACCCCGACCCCCATGCTCTCCCCCTAGATCAGATCAGAATCCCAGCCCCGCCCCCATAAACTGCCATGGAATGTTTCGGCTCCAGCATTTCTCACTTCCTAAAGGGGCCACTGTCTCAAGAGGGCATCCTGCCCATGTGGCCAGTGGATGGGTGTGTAAATACTCTGGGCCAAATCGAGAGCTGGGCCGGAGGGAGGGAGGGTCAGTTTACATTCCCACCCCCACAAACAGTGCCTCGGGCCTGGCCCCAAGAAGAGAAGAGAAACTGGTGTCCCAGGCCCCACTCAGGAGGAAGGCTGCACATCGCTAGTAAGTGTGGGAAGGGCATGTACCGCCCCTGGAAAAAGGTGAAAACATCGGTCCTGGGGAGACAGAAACTAAGGGGTCCTCAGGAGAAATGGGAATGGGGGAGGGGGGACAGGAGCAGCCCCAGGGCCTGGTGGGGGCGGGGAGGGGCCTACCCTCATTCGCCTCCCAGAGATGGACTGATTGATCCCCTGCTCAAGGGATGGAAGTGTCACTCCCCTGAGCAGAGGGGGGCCAAGTTTCTCCTCTCTCTGAACTGCTGGGGCTGCAAGGAAACGGCTTGATGGGCACTGACAGTGTGTGCAGTTTAAAGTCAAACTCCGGGGACACTGCCTTTGCCTGATTCCAATTTCATCAACATGCCTTATGCACACACTGTGCCTCATATAGAGGGGTGTGTGTGTGTGTGTGTGTGTGTGTGTGTGTATACACACCTGTGCTTGGAACGTAGATGCATAATATATATATTTATATATACACACACAGATATACATGTCCATACATGCTTGTGTAATTCACATGTGTACATACACATACCCGTGTGTGTACAATCACACACACACACACACCTCCTTCCATGGACATGCATGGACACACATTAGGATATCTTTTTGAATAATCAATCGACAGACATGCACCATCAAGTATGCACATATGTATATACACACAAATGTATGGATACATATCTACATATGGCTACACACACTCCTACATAAATGCTCTCGCACAGACTCTCACAGTCATAATGTATTCATAGATCACACACACACGCACACACACTGCTGCCCCATACTATAGAGGACCCTGCGGTCACAGAACTTGAAGACTTCTTTTCCCAAGGTGTGTGACAGAAAGCCCTGATTTTTTTTAGTTGCCCCCACCCCTCGGAATGGCTGAGAGAGGGGGTCCTAAGTACTGGGTAAGGCTGAGACCTCTTTGCCGACACATGCACAGCTGTGCACCAGCATGTGGAGATGTCAGGGTAATTTAGCAGGTGGCCTCGTTACTCCTAGATCTGTCACCATGGTAACGTGTTTTTTTCTTTAAAAAATGTACAGTGCCAAGAGGAGGAAGATGGCTGACAAAATTCTCCCTCAGAGGGTGAGTCACTTTCATTTCCTATTCACTTCACAGTCTGCTCAGCACCTTTGTTTATTCAGATGGATTTTAACAAATACTTTCACTTTTTGTTTAAAGATGTCTAATTAAAAAGTAAGTAGCCTGCTGGGTGAAAGTCTAGAGAGTGAGGCCAATGCTGGGGCTGGGAGTGTGGAGCAGAGCTCAGCCTGTGTCCTCCTTGTGTGAAGGGTTAGCCCTGCTGACACTGCTGCATGCAGGGAGGGCCAGGGAGCTGGGCTGCAAAGGACACAATTAGGCACTTGTGCCCTCTGGATTTTGAAGGGGTTTTAAATCAATGTTTCTGTGGGTAGCCAAACGCAGGTTCAGAGTTCAACACCTGCCTGCAGGAGATGGGCTCCTCCTCACATTACAGTGGCCCAGCAGTTCATTCAGCTCCTCGTTTTCAACCATATTCTCTTGCAAGTAAACTGTCTTAATCAATGTCTACAACAGGGCTAAAAGGGTCTAGATTGTCCAGAGAATTAACTCGGGTTTCCCTGAGAATTACTCTAGTTGCCTTTGTGTGGCCCTCTACATGCACCTGATCTGACTCACTTCCTCCCCACAGCTTAAACTCTCTAACTTTCTTTTGCAAGCCCCTGACCTCCTCCTCTCTGCTGGCATCCTCTTACTTTTAAGCTAGCATGCAAACCCCATAACACGTGCCCTGACCTGAATTGCCCCCACCTTCCCTTGGAGCAAAACCCTCACATCATCTCACCCCGATACCCTCCTGTTCACCCCTCCCCCAACAACCATCTGGTCCCAAAAGAAAAACTATAGCCTTCACAACAAGCAACTTTATATCAATCACTTGATACTAGCCTCTCTTCCACTACCATTCCTCACTCCAGATGCCAACACCCCTTTGATAGGCACTCAGAACCCTTCCACAACTCATCAGTCAGCCTCCCTTCCCTTTGCTAGCATTTATTTCCAGCTTCCGAGCTCTTCCTTTATCCCCCATAAGTAGATGGGCCAACTATTCCAACACATTAATTGTCTCTTGGCCCCTGTGAGACGCAGGTGTCTTGTCCCACAACTGTGAACCCTTTCTCTGCAGCCTCCTGCTCTGAAAGACCCAGGCCTAACCTTCTAGTCTTAGAACATAACCAGTTTTCAGGTGTTGCTGCTTTAGGAATTGGGTTGGAATTAAACCCAGGAACTTCATGATACTCACATTCTCCTAAATTTTTTATGTCTGCTCCGTAGGGAGCCTGTCCTCTCCGAGAATGGGAGTTCAGGCTCTATATTCTTTCAGCTTTGTCTCTTTCGCACACTGGTCCCCAGTGGGCCCCACCCAGCTTAGACTGATAGATCATAAAGCCAGAAGAGACCATTGTGGTCATCTAATCCTGGCCATAGAATTTTCCAGAATTAATTCCCATTTGAACTACAGCAGATCTTTTCGAAAAAACATCCAACCTTGATTTAAAAATTTCCAGTGAGAGAAAATCCACCATACTCCTTAGTAAATTTTTCCAGTGGTTAATTACCCTCACTGTTAAAAACTTGTTTTATTTCTAGTCTGAATTTGTGTAGCTTCAATTTCCAGCCTTTGGCTCTTGTTATACCTTTTGTCTGCTAAACTGAAGAGCCTTCTATTATCAAATGTCTGTTTCCCATGTAGGTACTTGTAGACTGTGATCAAGTCACCCCTTCACTTTCTCTTTGATAAACTAAACGGATTGAGTTCCTTGCATCTTTCACTACAAGGCAGGTTTTCCAATCCTTTCATCATTCGAATGGCTCTTCTCTGAACCCAATTTATCAACATCTTTCTGGACCACAGAACTGGACAAGGTATTCTAGAAGCAGTTGCACCACTGCCAAATACAAAGATCTTTGAGAGATACCCTTCTATTTTATGTGGTGAGAATGGAAGTTATTCCCATGTTTGTTAAAGGCTGCAGTTTCCCCCCTTCCCAAAACAAAAGCACATAGCTCCCGCAAATGGAACTGACTCCACTGGCAGCAAAAGACCTATCTTTATTTATTCAATTACTGGTAACTCAGTGGTGTTTAAGGCCTTTTCTACACTACGGAATTTTACCCAAAAGCTGCACTGGTGGTAGCACCAGAGAGAGCCTTAGTATAGACAAAATGTGGCTTTCACTGTTTTTAATCACTATGTCAGCTAAATCATTGATACAGTGATAAAAGCCCTGGAAGTGGCCAGAGTTTCATCTACAGTAGGTTTTCCACCAGTGCAGCTGAGTAATCTCAAACTAACTATGTAATTTAATCTTTTCCAGACTTCTTCTCTCCTCCTCCCTATCACTCCCTTCTGGGGTAGGTGAATAGGATAAATATCACCTCTTCCATTAACTGGAAAATCTCTAGCTGTGGTTATTGGGAGTATGCACAATTCATGCTTCCAAGTCTCATGAGAGCTTTCTATCCAATCAGTGGCTGGATATAGACCCCCCCACACCACACTCCCCCATGTGACCTATATAGTATGTGATAAATATTCTTCAGTCATTCCTCAGCCATTTTGTTGCCTTTCTCCTAGTGCTTCCTGGAGGTTGAGGGAAAGTCTCAAAACAAATTGTACTCACTCTTAAAAACTATCTTGTTTTCTGAATAAGGAGTGGGGAAAAGTAGTGAGAATGAGTGGTTTCCTCACTGTAGGCTGCTGGTTCCAGCAGTGGCCTTGGCAGAGAGGCTGGAGAATGGGCAAACAGATCACACCTACTTGGACACACACATGCTCTGATTAAGCCTGTACTGCAGCCAGTCAATGCTGGAACTTCATGCTGCTCTCTGCTGAGAGCCAGCACAGCTGCTACCATTGTTAGCTGCTTGAGTTGTGCTTAATTTTGCATATATTTAATTGTACACAGCCAGCTCAGCCTAGCGTGACACACAGGCAGACATGTTGAAAAATTACAAGGCTGAGAGTTTAGTGGGTTATATTCAGCAACATTAACTTCAAATTTGTTTCTTCCTCTTTCCCTCACATCACCTCCACCTCATGGTCTTTTTCAAACCTTATACCCATCCCACTTGCTCCTATGCCCTCCTGGTCTTCTCCTGTTCTCTCTGAATGCCAGTTCCATCTCAAAAAAGATCACAGCCATCCATCACCTCTTCATCCTCTGTTCCCTGTGGTCTCTTGGCTCTCAAGACCTGGATCCCGCATCTGACAGCCTCTGTAGACTCCCTCTCTTATGGTGGTCACTTCTCTCAAAGTCCCTTCCTTGAATTGTCCCAAAAGAAACATGATGGGCTGTCATGCTCCCCTCCTTTGGCTCCAGCCCTTCATGCCTTCTCCCCTGAACAGCACTCATCTGTTTCTTAGAATCATAGAATATCAGGGTTGGAAGGGACCTCAGGAGGTCATCTAGTCCAACCCCCTGCTCAAAGCAGGACTAGCACCAACTAAATCATCCCAGCTAGGGCTTTGTCAAGCCTGACCTTAAAAACTTCTAAAGAAGGCGATTCCACCACCTCCATAGGGAACCCATTCCAGTGCTTCACCACCCTCCTAGTGAAAAAGTTTTTCCTAACATCCAACCTAAACCTCCCCCACTGCACCTTGAGACCATTACTCCTTGTTCTGTCTTCTCCCCTTCCATGTCCTCTCTCCTTTTCCCCTTCCCCGCCCACCCAGCTTCTTCCACATCCACCTTCTTCTCCGACTCTGATTCATGACTCTCCATATGTTAGCAACAAGGTGGTGGTCAGGGAAAGTGTGGGCCTGTTACTGAATGGGGGAGGCAACCTAGTGACAGAGGATATGGAAAAAGCTAATGTACTCAATACTTTTTTTGCCTCTGTCTTCATGAACAAGGTCAACTCCCAGACTACTGCACTGGGCAGCACAGTATGGGGAGGAGGTGACCATCCCTCTTTGGAGAAAGAAGTGGTTCAGGACTATTTAGAAAAGCTGGATGAGCACAAGTTCATGGGGCCGGATGTACTGGATCCGAGAGTGCTAAAGGAGTTGGCGGATGAGATTGCAGAGCCATTGGCCATTAACTTTGAAAACTCATGGTGATTCGGGGAGGTCCTGGATGACTGGAAAAAGGCTAATGTGTAGTACCCATCTTTAAAAAAGGGAAGATCCTGGGAACTACAGGCCAGTCAGCCTCACTTCAGTCCCTTGAAAAATAATGGAGCATGTCCTCAAGGAATCAATTTTGAAGCACTTAGAGGAGAGGAAAGTGATTGGGAACAGTCAGCATGGATTCACCAAGGGCAAGTCATGCCTGACTAACCTACTTGCCCTCTATGATGAGATAACTGGCTCTGTGGATGAGGGGAAAGCAGTGGACGTGTTGTTCCTTGACTTTAGCAAAGCTTTTGACACGTTCTCCCACAGTATTCTTGCCAGAAAGTTAAAGAAGTATGGGCTGGATGAATGGACTATAAGGTGGAGAGAAAGCTGGCTAGATTGTCGGGCTCAATGGGTAGTGATCAATGGCTCCATGTCTAGGTGGCAGCCAGTATCAAGCGGAATGCCCCAAGGGTCGGTCCTTGGGCCAGTTTTGTTCAATATCTTCATTAATGATCTGGAGGATGGCGTGGATTGACCCTCAGCAAGTTTGCAGATGACACTAAACTGGGAGGAGAGGTAGATACGCTGGAGGGTAGGGATAGGATACAGAGGGTGCTAGACAAATTAGAGGATTGGGCCAAAAGAAATCTGATGAGGTTCAACAAGGACAAGTGCAGAGCCCTGCACTTAGGACAGAAGAATCTCATGCACCACTACAGACTAGGGACCGAATGACTCAGCAGCAGTTCTGCAAAAAAGGACCTAGGGGTTACAGTGGATGAGAAGCTGGATATGAGTCAACAGTGTGCCCTTGTTGCCAAGAAAGCTAACAGCATTTTGGGGTGTATAAGTAGGAGCACTGGCAGCAGATCGAGGGACGTGATCATTCCCCTCTATTCGGCATTGGTGAGGCCTCATCTGTCGTCCTGTGTCCAGTTTTGGGCCCCACACTACAAGAAGGATGTGGAAAAATTGGAAA